AAATTCAAATATTCGGCTTATGAACGCCGAGCAAACATTGCCGTCGGTTGATTGGAACGTCAGATTGTGCGAGCGAGAGCGCGTCGAGATGAAAAGCGCTTAGCGGATACGACAATAGTGGGCATCCGCTATTACGGCTATGATTTGAGGCCCGGTGCCGACCCAGGCCGGTATTGGGTCGGCGTCACCTTGGATCCGAATAAACGGGTCGATGGCTGCTTTATCAGACTGGCTGGTATAATTTTTTTTTAATTTCCGCAACAATTGAATTTGAAATTTTATTGCGTAGCTTTTGATGTTCTTTTGACGCCCTTTGGGAAATATTATTACAACGCGCGCACACTGACCCTCAAAAAGGGACATGATGAAAATTTGTTGCAAAGCGATTATCACGGTATTACCATGGCAACTTTTGGAAACCTGACTATAATTCCAAGTAATTTAATAAAACCGGCATTTAATGTCTTTTTCACAAACAAAAACTACTGGCACAGGGGAAAAAAGTTAGTTACATTTTTGTTGTTACGCTGGAGAAGTATAACTTCTTACGTGGGTAAATAAGTAGAAAACACTTCTTTTCCTCTGTCACGTCACTGTGGTGGTTTAAAATCGGGGGAACCTAAGAAACGTAGGGGCTTCTTAACTGACTGCTAAAAGTTCGTAAGAACGAAGAAACATTCGTTTGTATACAGCGTGTCGTTACCATCGCGACAATAAATGAACACACATATAGGGGATAACTTTTTTAAGTTGTATTAAACATTTAAATTCTTTAAGCATCAATATTTACCGAGTTATTAAATTTTCCAAAACAAAGAATTTTAGAACACCCTCACCTATAAAAGCGTAACGTAAAGTTCATTTGTAGAGGTCACAAAGCATATGAATGGTTTGAATTGAGACAAAACATACTGTTAGAAGGAGAGGCTTGTAATACGACGCTGTGGCGCGAGTTGTATAGGATGTTACAAATTTTGTTTCTTTTTTACTTAATTAGTTTGTTTGAAAAAAAAATATTTTTTAATTATGGATTTTGTTTAACTTTAATATTTTTTTATGATTATTGGCATGGAGCGTTAGACGTGTGTTCATTTATTATCGCGATGGTAACGACACGCTGTATATAGATTCACAAGGTTGGTTTTACTTAGCGTGTCAGTGTCGCTGACCTTTTAAGTGTCGTGAATTTTTGCGCTCCGGACAAAGATTATGTTAATCTTGATAATAAGTTAATTTTTTACATTTCTCTGGCTTATTGTCTTCGCCGAAGGCGTTCAAGCTGTTGTTCGGTACTAATTAAAGATTTAGTATGCGAACAGGTACGTTATAATTTAGCTGTCCTTAACACGTAAATACAACTCAAACAACAGTAAGTCAAAAGTAGTGGGATCTTCCGGAAAGTTCCATGAGTGCGCGTATATGCGATAGTTCCATACGGAGGGTGATGAGCCATGTCCCCCCCTGCCCATGTTACGCTTTTTAGTGTGCAAAAACAAATGTATGAAATTTGGTGCCTAGCCATATATTGATCCATTATGATGTTCATACTGCAACTCTAGACGCATTACAGGTTTTCAAAAGTGATAGACCGATGACGACGTGATAGGGTCTCGCGGCAACGTTTGCTAATACATGAATAGGCACGCTCGTTTGGGGACATACCACGACCACAAGAACAGTTTGGAAGTGTTTGTAATGTGATAAGTTGTCAAGCTAGCATGCGGTTCACCTGATGTTAAGTGAATACCGCCGCGACGAGAGCTTGCAGATGCGTTGACAACCTTTTTGAAAATTTGGCTCCGACTACCTCACTCACCAGACGAAACGCGAAAGTATTATACTTCCACTTTATGCCGGTCTTCTGTGAGGTCGTGGTACTTTCCCGGAAGATCCTGCCTATTCGTGCAACAGCCGAGGCTGCTGCGTGACCCTTGAATATAGGACCATTATGATTATTATTCATGATACAATGATATAATGATTACAGTATTATTTTTTCACGTTTCGTCTGGTGGTTGAGTTAACCGGGGCCCATTTTTTAACAGTTTTAGTTCCAGTCAAATGTCTATGGGCGGCAGCAGAGTGATGTAACTGGGGCGGAATTTCTTGAAAGGTGGCAATGGCAATGGCATCGCATTAATAAATCTACGGGTGTTGTAAATGTCCATGGGCGGCGGATACCTCTTAATGTAAGGATAACAGTCAGATCCCCTCTTACATGAAAAAAATTAAAGAATAGCAAAACCAGATTTTTACGAATTGGTTCATGTACTGGCTGGTCTTGATACTTCACAATTAAACGTGTCTAAAATATAGTAGAAATGGATACCAGACGTGAATAACAGAACTCCTTAAAATTAAGGCGATCGGTAAACCTATCAATTAATATGCATTAATTAAACGCGATGGCAGTCGTGTCACCGGACTGCTATAGTTAGGGTGACCAGTTTTTGGAGATAGTTTAATAAATCCATTAAATAAATATATATACATAAAGATATATATAGATACATAAAGAAAGATTGACTGTAAGCCAGAAGCCGACTTGATTGATTACCATCTCAAGCAACGAAAATAAGCGATATAGCAGCTGGTGCTAAACTTACTAGTTACGATATCTCTCACTCTTGCAGTTCTTACTACATCGGAATCCATACTAATCCTTACTAATGTTATAAAGGTGAAGTTTGTATGTATGGATAGATGTTTGTTACTCTTCCACGCAAATACTACTGAATGGATTTTAATGAAACTTTATATACATATTTATATGCATATTTTATGTATACATATCATCCTGTCTGAATGTTACGCCTTCAGCCTATTATACGCAGACGTAGTCGCAAAGCTCTAGTCTTCTATAAATTGAGGAACATTGTCTCCCTAGCCCTGACGCCCAAACGCCCTGACGCTGGGTCTAAACGAAACCCGAATAACGGCACATCAACCAAGCCTGTAGCATTTCCTACGATGCGCGTTGCCACACTGTTTTCTTTCGCCGGCCTTTATAAAGAAAACTTGTAAACCTCCAAAATGATGACCTCTTTAGTACATATTTTCACCTTACAAAGTTAACTAACTTACTATTATGGCAATGTTTTAAATTTATTTCTCTCAGATTGTTTCAATTACAAAAGTGCCGACGTTATTGTTACTCAAAGCATTCAATGATCTTCTTGTTTATTCATTTATTTTCTTTTTTTTGTTATTTAATTATAAGAGACATTAAACAGTAGTAACTTCTCCAGTAGTCACTCAATTATACGCGTTCACAAAGAATTATCAAGACCTCAAACAATACGCAACGAGTAGTGCGTCGATAACACTGTGCCCACAAGCAAACGTCTATTTCATTCAAACTGACATGTCCGACGATTTGGTTATGATAACTGCGGGTGCAGGCATAATGAGTCATTGCTTACAAAGTGACAGTCGAGTTCCGAGTGTCGGGCTAATTGTGTGCTGCTATGCGAGAATGCGACGTAACGGTCCCGAGGCTTGCATGTGTAAACTGGTATTGAGCCATTGCGTAACGTAAAAAACAACCGCGCAGCCCAACTATGTAATTAGGTTCGAATTCAAATGACAGTGATTTCTATGGATCCCTGAGACGTCCTCCGCTCGTGAATATCAAATAACAAAAAGTTTGCCAGAGAATCACACAACGTTAGGTAACACTGTTTTTTTGGTAAAAATATTATCCCTTAAAATATTTTAAGTATTTCTTTATTGAACAACACTTATCACCACTCAACTTTTAGATGAATATGTAGAAAGTAAATGGAAATGGTATTTAACGGTAAGTAGAGGTTATTTATTACATCGCAGGAGTAATTTATGAGAAGCATTCTTCTCTTATCTATATTTATATGTACTAATAATGAAATTATAGTGTATGTCTTTGATTACAAAAGGAAAGGCATTTGAGTGAAAACTGGTATTTTTACGATGAATAAATGATTGTCATTAGATTATTTGTCTATCTGGAATTGTCCATTGAATATTCTTCTATTGGTCCTAATGGAATTCAATGAAAATAGGTTTAGAAACTACCATGACAGCCAATAAGAACTTATTGACATAAGCATTTAATATCTTTTTTTCGCATTTTTTTTTCTTTTGTTACCCTAAAGAAAATAACTTCTTACGTGTATAATTCTGTTTTTAAAGTTACCCATGTATTTTTGCCTAAGTAGTGACTCGAAGATTTTTTACGCATTATTTTAATGCCAACCATTTGCATCCGTAGGAGGAAGCTATTTCACAATATGTGTCAAACTGGCATTATTGCGACGCTCGCGACATCTGTCCACTTATTGTTGAATTAATTGTACACAGATTACTCAAAGTTGACTGTTAATTTTCCACGTGAGCACCATGGGTCACAGACGCTGCCGACTGACCGTAATTTACCATCGCCACCACATACCGAGAAACTTCCCAAGTTTCTCTTTCATAACACCAAAAGATCGATACGCAATTAAGATTCCTCGCAAATCGTCCGCGTCCGGACACGACTGTCAAATGTGTTACGTTCGCCGTGAAATCTTTAATTGTGGCCAATCACTGCTCGTTCGTCAAATGTTTTTTTTTATCTTCGTATTTTTTTATTTTTTTGTTTTATGCCAGTCCGTCACGCGATCTCTGGTACTGTGTCAACCGTCAGATTTAGCTTCCATGTTACAATGCCCGCCGGGGATTTCTTGAGACTTGACTACCTTACCTGCTGTTGTGGCCAACTTATTATGCCAAAATCCCTAGTAAATCATTACAAGTAAAGTGAAATAAAGGGACTCCGACGACTGTGTTGACATTAAATATGTGTTAACAAGTGATTGGCTGTTTACTAGGCTAATTTCATTGGACACATTGAACTTATCATTGGCATCTAGGCCAAAGGTATATAAATTAGTCTGTTCTCGCACAGAGCTTATTCGAACCAAATCCTTGGAATGGAACTCTTCAGTGATGTTTTTTAAATGTCTAGGTAGGTGATGTCAGTAGTACAGAATATGCTTATCAGTCTTAAAGCCAACTTCAAAGGAATCGAACGGATCTGTTAGGCCGTTAGGGAGAACGTTTTTTGTAGGCGAGTCACCTCGTCCGGACTTGCTCGGGGTATCAGTGCGCAAATACGATACACGCCGGTTCGCGGAAGTGCCCTCGCGCTTATTTTCGGGCGTCATTTCTGGGTTTGTATTTTTCGTAATTTTTATCAGCGCCGCTATTTCCCACGGTCCGCTAGCGCTATCGCCGTTTCCGCGGCCACCGACTGACTCAGCGGACATTTTTTTTGCATATATGCAAATAACTAACAAATAATAACGTTGCGTGATGTTTAGGACAATACATTCGACCGAATGCGTCTTAACCGCTGCTTACTACTAGTATTAAACAATGGCGAGTTGTTAAGCAGAAAACAATAGACAAACATTGACATGCGATTTGCTGTTTTTGATATGATATATATTTATAAATTTTATTAATAATTACACCTAATGATGTTATAATTACAGTAAATATTGTATTATGATTTAAATGTTTAACACGAATAATTTTGTTATAGAAAATACTCATAGGCTAACGTTTCAATCCGAGCTTACGCATTCATGTATAACCTCCGGTTAGGACATTTACCCGCGAAAAAAACGAATTGTTTGACTAAAAACTGCAATGTCACAATCGAGCTATAGCATAAGATATGGGATTGGCCGTCGACTATTTAAAAGGCAGACCCTAACACCGGGTTGAGTTTCGAGAGGAGAGCGCCCATCACTGGCCTTAGCCGACCGTTGGCAGTCTCAGCGGGCGCTGGAAAAAGAAAGGGTCGGTCCAATAAGGCGACGCCGGGTCGCGTGGCTAGTTTTTGTGACGCTCGGTCCCCGAGCGAAGGTTCTTGTAGTGTAGCCAGGCCGGCCGGTGAACTGCGGAAGTCCCGCACAAGAATACTGATGATCTTCAGCGAAAGAATTTATGTAATGGATGTCTGATTAAATTTGGGCTGCGGTTATATTACTTATTTAAACTTTATTGCTGCACTATAAGCTGAGGCAACAATGTGTGCAGTTTACTGCCTAATGGCATTCTCTAATAGTCAACCCTTGTCATGGTGAAAAGTAGCTGGCAGGTGCTAACCGAAAGATTGAAAATAAAACATATATATCAATTTGCTCTGAAATCAATATAGACAAAACCGGTTTTCATGAGTTGGGACTTTTATCTATACACATAAGTACATATCTACGGATGATTGTTCGGGACCTGTTTGTTTAGTCTGCTCGTCGAAGCAATCCTATTTTTTAACCGACAGTTCGGTAGTATATTTCGTTTGTTACCTCAGAACTCCGTCATATATGAAGCGAATGTCAATGCAAAAATAATTTAAAAATTATTTTTGCATTGGGTTCGGTCTAGCTCCTATGTGGTTCCATATTATGTTCAGATATTAGAAGCCAGTTTTGTCAGAGGGTCAAGCAAAGTCAAAGTCAGTTATAAGTGAATTATGACGAAGATTGGATATCGTTACTATTAAAAGTTAAAGTTAAAATTTGTGGGCTGTTTGCTTAAACCACTTGGTGACCCTAATCAAGTGTCGCAAAGCGTGGAGATTTATGGCGGATTCATTTGTTTGTCGCTTCGGAACGCAATCAGGTCGATTATGGTAATCGTTTTTGTCGTTGCGTCGACATCGATACGAATTACCTATTAGGGCTTCGGCGGTTCTTAATTGTCTTTATTAACCCCTCCGGGGTGTTACAATAAAGTACTACTCTTGAATATATTCAATGTACTTTTTGATTTGAGTAAGTTTAAATAGATAGGACTACGTAACAGTGGCCGCTGTTACACGAATAGACAGGTCCGTCCGCATTGGTAACACGACCTCACAGAACAGCGTGAAGTAGAAGTGTTACACTTCTGCGTTTTGTCTGGTGAGTGAGGTAGTCTGGGCCCAGTTTATTAAAAGGTGACAACGCATCTGCAACGCTGCGGTCATCACTTAACATCGGGTGACCGCCAGTTCGTTTGCCACTTTGTCACATAAAAAAAAAATACGTTCACGGTGTCACAACTATTACGGAGAATAGCAGACGGCTCCTTTTAATGTGAGAAATTCGTGAGAGCAGGCGATTGTCGCTAGTTTAAGTCTTCACCGTCGCCTCATACTCAACATCCGTGTTGCAAATGTGTTACCCAGAATATACTGGGCATCAGTTATCTCACATACCAAAGAGGTCTTAAAAGTAGCAAAAGTGTAATACTTTCGCTTCACACCGACCGTCAGAGAAACTGTGGTATTTCCTATACAGCAAAGCTGCTCCATAGGCCCAGCACAACTATCTAAGACAGGAGGAAACAAGGAAAACGCTATTATAATATTAACGGGGCGCTGAGCGTAAAAAAAGCCTCATTAATGATCATAATACACAATATAATAGCTGTGTAAGGGCCACGTAACAGTCTTGGCCGTTGTACGAATGGGCGGGTCCGTCCGGGGAAGTACCAAGACCTTACAGAAGACCGGCGTCAAGTGGAAGTGTTAAACTTCTAAACGGAGCCTTCTTTATTAAAAGGTGGCAATGCATCCGTATTCCTACGGGAGTCGCAAATGTCCATGTGCGGTTATCATTTAACATCAGGTGAACCACCTCCCTTGCCAACTGCTTACATAAGAAATTTAATTATGCGCGATCACCACAGTTCACCTGTGTCGCTTAAACACGTATCTCCATCGACACTGAAAAAGCACCATCATCGGAATTGACCCGCGTCGCAACACCAACGTGTCAACAAACATCCACGGCCGTCAAAAATAACGTGTTCCCACGCACCGCTATCGGTGCTGACAGTAAGAATATTTACTCGGGCACAATGATAACACGTCCATATTGCGCAATATCTGTCGTAACGGCGCCTTTCCGTTTGAATTATATATTAAACTAAAAAAAATGTGTATCATAAATTTAAAAAAAAATCCGTTTTAAAATGTTTCGCTTCCTGTCACTGCCTCGAAAGATGCTTAATAAATGTTGTACGGACGCGTTTTAAGAAAAATTTAATTAAGATGAGGATAAGATAGAGTCATGGAGAGGAAGAATAAGAACTATTAATCATCATTGTAGCCTAATATTGTTAAATATCAACGCCTGGTTTCTGAAAGACTGATCAACGTAGAAATTATGCTATGCCAGCTAATCACTTGTCAAATGGCTTGTTAAATTTCATCTGAGTTTTGTTGAAATTGTTTTTTTTTATTGTTTCAAAATCCAAGGTTTAACCATCCCTTTAGCAATTCAAATGGCGCCCGGTGTCTTTCAGAGACCGGGGTTTAATGAACAATACGAGTATGAAAGACTACGTTTGACGAGTAGATTAATTCATCTCTTTTCGAGTATAGATTGCCAAATTGTACATTCCATTAATCTGTTTGTCTATTGTTAATTTTGTGTATCCTTTTATGTGTGGTGAACAATAAAAGTATTTATTCATTCATTAATTCATTCATGAAAACAAAATATGATTATGAAAAGAGTCACTCATGATCAAATGAATGTCACTTGTAAATTCGATACTTAAAACAACTTTAAAAAATAAATACCTACTTTCAACGTGATCAATCATGAGAGATAGCGTTTTGGCAATGTTTGAACTTGCCGAGTGTTTAAACAAATTCACAAACATGTCAGGATGGATTGGCGCGTTACTTTTTCACACGGGGGATAACGTAATGCGGCATGTTGATTTCGATGTACGGACATACGCCCATACATCCCCTTCGTTAGGAAAGCCGAAACGCGGGTGGTCCTTCTGACTGGCTCCGTCTAGATTTCAGTGTTGATTGCACATTGAATAATGTATGTATGTGCATTTTTAAGCATACTTGGCGGTGCGTTTGATGTTCTGCCTTAAGTAAACCCGAATGTCTATATGCGTCTTTTCCTTTATACAAACTGCTTAATGAGCGTCCGAAGGCCTTCAATAGTTGTTTTTAGTTCGTACGGAGTGTTATTACATGATTCATGATTTTTGAGCTACATGTTGAATTCGTAGTTATATGCACGTTGAGTACCAGATCTACGTACATTTATCATATCTGGTTTATTAACTGAAGACTTATAGCTAGCTAACATACTCCTCTTTGTTCCAGGTTTCGTCTCCTGTTCACCATCTCCGTGCAAAAACGGCGGCACTTGCCTGTCCACGCCCAGAGGAGAGTACTTGTGCAAGTAAGTGGAACTCTATACAACTCTTAATTTTTTTTATGTGACAAGTTGCCAAACGAGCAGACGGTTCACCTGGTGATAAGTGAATACCGCCGCCCATGGACATCTGGTACACCCGAGGGTTACAGATGCGTTGACAACCTTTTGAAAATTGGGCTCGGGCTACCTCACTCAAAAGACGAAACGCGAAAGTATTTGTCATACTTCCAATTTACGCTGGTCTTCTGTGAGGTCGTGGTACTTACACGGACGGGCATGCCCATTCGTGCAACTGCCGAGGCTGCTGCGTGGCCCTACCACCGTATTTATTTAAGACACGTAGGCTAACTAACCAAATTCAAGCGCTCCATTTATCTCAAATCTAGGAATTTTTAATACTGTATACGAGATTAATTTACTTTAAGAAGGTTGTTTTTAAGTTTGATACTTTCAATTATTTTAATCTTAGCACAAAAAGCAAAAAAAGGAATTTACTATCTACAGTATGAAGAATAACTCTTAACTAAGGTTATTCTTAAACTATTCTATTCTTCGTCTTAGTAAACGGCTGCAAGCCAGATTATTTCCGTCAATAATCTTTGTTACTTTGTTACGTAACACATTGCATCCACACGCCACAATTTCATTAATTACGACGTGCAATACATGACGACGAAATACGGCGCTTGAAATCCTGTTTGTAAATTGCATCAATTGTTCTTTGTGTTAGTTGTACCGCAAAACTAACAAAATAAACAATAACGAATTTGCTGCAAAAAGTATAAAATGCAAATCATTCGTATTTTATAGCGAATGCATAATCAATTACTGCTCAATTTTAAATGTGGGCTATGTGGGCTATGTGGGCTACGAAAGATCGTATTCGAAACTCAACACCGTCAGCCGTTGTCTGTGATATCCATTACCGTAATAACCAGGGCAGGATTTAGAGGTCTGGAGGCCTCGGGACAACGAAGGAGTGGAGGCCCCTTGTCCCCAAATTATTTTCCGTTGCTTTCTGTTAATATTTAATGTAATGTTTGTACAAAGTATTGTAGGTAAAACGAGAAAAAAAATATGAAAAG